TTTTTTAAAGAACCTGTTCTGAGTCTGAGTCTGTTACCCGGTAGCACAGGTAGCTCAATTAGCCTGAATTTTTTTTCTTTCTAAATCGCGACATATAATTATTGTGAACTAATTTTCTAGTTATATCTACATTAAGAAAAAAGTTTTAACATTTACATTGTTTTTACCTGCCTTTGTTTTGTGATATTTTGTTAACTCAGCTGTTGGTTATATGTTGCTACGTTACGAGCATTCCTTCAGTTCCGGATACGTTCCAGCTACATTTCTCAAAGTTCGATCTTCAATTAATTTTATCCATAGCTGTATATACCATAGCAATAAATATTGTAGTATCCGTAACTATGGAATACTGTGAGTCTTGACTTGAACTTGGACTTGACGCTAACAACCAATTGTAATTATAGTACTCTGACCTGCCAGACTATTGCTTAGAATGCTTGATCTGCCACCAGAGAGTATCAAGTGCGTCACAAGTCGCCTTTTTGCCACCACCCCCTCTCCAAATTTATAGGCAGGTAGGGTTTCGTCTTCTCTTTGCGTGCCTGTCTTTTCAATATAGTTTACATTGCCAAGGCTTACCCTATATTACTGCCCTATAATATATATTACTTATAGACTTGAGTAGGGCCAAATTACAGTTTTCGTATTGTGTTTAATTATATGACTTATACTTTACTTTTAAACTACTATACTATATTTTTATATTACTTTTAACTATATGCTTCACATTCACATTTAAAAGTAGAAGTATATAACATAGTTTAAAAGTAGAGGTGGTGCAGTGGTAGCGTATGCGACTGCTGTGCTGAGGTTTCGGGTTCGATTCCCATTGCAAATATTTCTTTCGTACTTTGGGTGTTTCAAATTCCAATTAATTACACACAATATTTTATAAGAAAAATCCGATGATAAACGCAAAAACTTGGGCACATGATATTAACAATCGCTATCATTGTTATACAAGTGAGCGAAAACAAAAATAATGAACCCGCTTTGAAGTGAAACATTGGAAACAAATAAAAGAGAACTTTTGTTTAGACAATTTAATTTTGATATCTATTGTAACATTCTGTATTGTTACATCTTTTTGTTTTCTTTTGATTTTTTTATATTGAATATACGTAATTACAACACAGTAATATGGCAATTATGTAGAAAACTTGTGACGTTAATCAATTCAGGTATCTTACCTTCACGGGGGGGGGGGGGGTCGGCTACTCGTCTGTAAATGGCCCGAGGTATGTCGGGGCACCAGGGACTTCCTTTCTAGGGTATACCTGATTCCCCGGCTATTAGTACCCGAGACGGCGTGCGGTTTTAGTCGGTTCGAGTCCGACATGCCACCGATAGGTGGTATCCGAGGGGATTTCCGCACGGAAAAAAAAAAGCTATCTTCCCTTCGGGAACATTATATCTCTTTATGTAAGAAAAACCATTGTCTTTTACATGTGCTAAATAAGTGAAATGAAATGACTTGATGACAGTTAGCTTCTTATGTGAAGGTGGATGAGGAGGGCTGGCGTGCTGGTATTTTTTCTGTGTGGCTCCACAAAGTCGCTAAACGGGATCCAAGAAAAGGGCCGATCCCGAGCGTAGAGGACGTCAGTGGCGATACTGTGAATACCTTACGTAGGTGGATAAAATGGGGACCTCTGGGATTGCTGCGGTAGAGGAAAGAATGGCGGATAGAGCGCCTGAGCCCGGCTGTCGGGGTAGCGACAAGTATGATCACCACATACTCCCGGCTCCTGCGAGTCCAAGGAGCAAGAAAACCTAAGGTATTTTCCACCACGTCAACAAAAAAAAAAATAACTAGATTCATTATGTACAAATACTACAATTAGGATGCTAATACTCGTCCTAACAATTACACATGTCTTTAATGGTTATATTTAATCAAAATTAAAATAATGAATAAAAACTGAAGATAACTCTTAAAAAAATTGCACGACAATATTAGTTTTTTCATCTACAGTAAAATTCACCAGTCGCGACGAGTGACGAATGTACTTTAAACTGAATTTTTTACAGTACTCGTATTTTTATTTACTCTACAAATAGCAACAACATCATAACTTTGCTGCCCATATTAAAATGGTTATGATAAACGGGACCCAACTGGACTCAAAACTCTGGGGATATTGAAAAACTGCTATTATTTAAAAGTGTACTTTTGTGCCACATATCTTGATTGTGCTTGTGAAAAATCGCAAACTTTTTTCCTAAAACATCATCGCTGGCGTATTGAAATTTATTTTTTACTAACACAAATAATTTGACACTACTTCCACCCACACTAATCTAAGAATGTAGTCAAAAGTATTGTAGTCAGTGTTGCTCACAGCAATCGTCAAGTTTGAGGCGGCATACATTCTTATTTTAATGCATTGTTTACACATTCATCATCATCATCAACAGTCGTTACTAGTCAACTACTGGACATAGGCCTTTCCTTAGAAAGGATGTCTTGGTCTACTATACCACGCTGGCCAGACGGGTTGGTATAGGGTTTGTCTCAAGTTTTCTTTTCTCTTTGCAGTCTTGTCATCCCACGTAGTTTGTTCCCTTAGTCGGCTTTTTCTGATTCTACAAATAAGTGACTGTATGTGCGACTATCATGTTAAGTGTTGATCTACTTAAAAACCTAGATATTTAATCTCAGAGGGTCTAGCCTGAGTAGTACACGAAATGTTGTTCTCAAAAGGGTATTAGTGTCTTACGTAGGTAGTATTGTGTGACAACTCTTCAACTTTTGAGATTTATTTTGGGAATATTGAAACTGCATGCAATTTTCCTCATGTAACTTAAATTGGTTGAGAATACTTTTGTTACACAAAAATTTTAACATGTATTACAGATATTAAATTGCCAAATTTAAAATCGCATACCAAAGAGAGTGCCAATCATTATTCTCTCCCTTTTACCTATTGTTTTGAACATAAAAAAGTGGCAGTCAAACTCATACAAAATTATTATCTTTCACCTAAAGCCACCCTCGTACAATAATACTTACAAATACTTTGAACATCCTCAATAAATCACACCGCTCTATGTAGTTCGATTCTTTTAAGGCTTTATTTGTTCTAGAGACAATCGTACAAAGCGATACAACAAGAGCACTTGAGCCTCTCTCCGCAGAGAATGCTCAATGTTACATCACTACATGCACGAACTCAAATACCACGAAATACTTCAGTATTGAAAGTTCAAATGGTGGCACAAAGTTTTAAATTTCTACAGTGGATAATGATGTCGCTCTGTACGTACGAGGATTTAGACAAGAAATCAACATAAATTACTTGTCTGTAGTCACTTGAACAAATACAAAAAAATGAACTACAAAGTCAACGCATTTCATGAGATATGACTATTTAAGCCTTCGTTTTAATTCAACTTGAACCTTTGGAGTTTCAGGCAAACCAAACTTCCTCTTCTTCTTTGGATATTACTATACTAAAGACGAATATGTCTATAGATAAATATGATAGGGGTATATGAAGGCTTCTGCTAGTATCAAAAATAAAGTTAAGAAAGCAATGGAATGTAGAATAATATGAAGAAATCTGTGATTTCTAGTAGTAAATCCAAACGATTGTTTTGTTTAGTTTTGAAACACCGCTAGATGGAATTTTATAAACTTAAAAGTACACCAGAGTATATTTCATTCTTTAATACTACTCAATATGTGATGAATTAGTCGTCAGAGAAAAATAACGTCGTAGTGAATTGCTGCTAATGCCGCTGGAGTGTAAAAAAGACACCAGGATGTTAAAGCAGACACAGAATCTAGAAGGAATCTTAGTAAACAATGTAACAAATAGTAGCTGAACGGATTCACATGCGCCGTACCAGAGCAGAGTGTAGTTGAGTGAGTACCGGAGACAATTTTAAGTGTTTGAATATTATTTCTATAATTTATTGGTAATTAAATTTAGGCAAATTAATTTAATAATCTAAAAATAAAGAAATTGAACTAATAATAAATGTGTAGTATCCTAAGAGCGGACTAAGGGAGTAAACTATGCAGGACAACAGCACTGCAAAGAGAAGGAAAACTTGAAGCAAACCGTATACCAACTCGTCTGGCATATTCTTTTAAGGAGCGGTCTATATCCAGCAGTGAACTATTGATGTTATTATGTATGCCGGATTTTTGTCATTAATAATTAAGTTTTTATTTCACTTTAAAAAAATGGGAAACGTCCTTGATTATGGCTAGCTGGATTTTAATTTCTTGTTAAAAATAATTGATTTCCTAATTGATCCCATTGTCATCAGATATGGATCTGATAATAGAATCCTAAAGAAATCCAAAGATGTCTTCAATCAACATAGGCAAACCCATAGCGATTTAAATATACTATATTTTATGTGTAATGTAATCTTTACTAAAGTTCTAATGTGCGATATCAAGTAAAAAACAAAAATACTGTAAATTATAATCTATTAAATGTCGAAACTGTATTGAACACGTATAATAAATTAAAACATTCAGGCCCCACTCTTTTTCCTCACTTTGATGGACATACACCTACACTATATTATTGACGTAGTTGTATGGTTGAGTGTTTTTTAAACATGCTTTGAAATTCGGCAATGCATCCAATTTTAACTGTATAGCCAGGTATAAATTTCGTAAAATTTCAGTCTCAAATAAATGACGGTCTGTTCTAAAGCGAACCGCAACACTGTCATTCCACTCACATATTAAGCCGCAAAAGGAAAATAAAATATTAATTTTTACTCAGCTTTGAGATAATTTATCGCTTTCTTCCAACACAACTTCAAAATATACATTTTTGAACGAATTTTCACGCACGAATTTGTTCTCTCGTGAATTGTAATTCATCTTTTTGTTCGGAGAGGTAATAAATAAAGTGTATACATCCAAATTCAATATTCGATAAGGCGTGGCCGTTGAGTGAATAAGCTGCTGCGTGACATGACTAATCCTCTACGTGTGTACTCTGCTTGTATTGAATCGCATTTTCAAGTGAAAGATGTTTCGAAAAGGAAAATCGCTTTGGAAGTCTTCCTGTAAAGAGATGAGCAGGCTTAGTACGCTTAGAATTATAGGAATTAGAGCCTTAGTTTGATTTTCTGATTGAAAACAAATACCGTCCTAAGAACTTCTGTTGTGGAATAAACTGTTATGGAATAAATTTAAGTTTTTTTCATATTTGTTCCTTTCATAATTCGTCGCGTACATCGGCGTCTTTGGTAGTGGCTAACCATTTTATTCTGAACCAAATCTTGAAGAGGCTAGTGAAAATGTGTTTTAGAAAAGCTAGAAACTCTCAGGTGGACACCTGGTATGTTAAACAGTGAACCCGAAGAACTAAAAAACTTTAAAATATCTTATTTCGTCCGAACTTAATTCTAATAAGTATTGTATCGTTTTGACTTTTATTTGAGATGCATATAAATGTATGCGCTAACAATAATGATGCTTCTTTTATGAGAATCATTCCTTTGTGTTTGTTATAATTATTTTTATTCTTAGTCTAAAACCACAAATAAAATTCCTGTGCATTTAATTTGTTTCAAAAACTCTCATCATTCGATCGATGTTTTATCAACAAAATTAATCATATCACTTAGTCGAAAAGTAATTAACAACAGTAAACAACAATAAGAACTTGAATATACAATATCCTTCTAATGAAAAATCAAGTATGGGTATCAGTATCAATACAGTCTATTTATAGTATGGCGGCGCACTAGTTTTGGTCACGCGACAAAAAAGACTATTATGTAATTGTATTTTACATAGAATTATATTTTGAATTTTCTCTTCTCTCATCTCTTACATATTGTCATTTAGAAGTAGGTTGCCACGACATTTTTTCGCCGTATATTCGTACATATAAGACTATTACTGCTCGACTAAAGTGTTATGTTGGCAGTAAGACGTGCCTCAGAGTATATTAACACTAAAACGACTGGATGCCCATAATTTAATTTTACTTAAGCCTTTATGGTGGTAGTAAAATGCTACATTGAAACGAATACAGATTAGCCTTCAATGAAACGTGGACCGCAAATTAAGCATTGTTTTAATATTGGCCTAAGTATTTTTTTACGCAGTCGTTGGTTAATTTTATGGGTCCCGTGGCTGTTAAAAGTTTACCCTACGAGTTAACTGTCCCATTGCAAAAAATGAAACATAGCTGTAACAAGTTAAAACTATAGGTATGTTACCGAACCTAGGTCTAAACATAATTTACAATATCGGTCTTACACTAATTAGTAAACAACCAAATATTCAAAATCAATCGTTACTAGCCCACGCTCCTTAGGAAATTTTTACTCTTTAAAGAAGTATGTATTTATGAAAAAGTTATGTGTGTTTCATTATTTGCTTCAAAGAGCCTAATCAAAAACTGTCGTAAATTATATCTACAAAAAATTCTTTTGATATCACTTAGGAGTTTCTTAAAATTTTTTCGATGCAGTTCTTAGATACCCAATTAATATTATTAATTAATATATTTATAATTATTATTAAATATAAACCGACTGCGTATAAATGTATAGAAATTTACAACTTGAAATTTACAAACCTTCGATTTTCATTTTTACAATTTGCGTAAACCCTGTCTCACTCCCACAATTAAGAAGAATCGAGTCAAACGTCTCTGATCGTCTGGTCAGAGTGTGTCGAAGAAATGTACATAGAAAACATAGAAATATATATACCTACATACACACACTCGAAAAGAAAATCCTCTTTCTGGCGCAGTCAGAAAAAAAAAAAATTAATTGAATCTACAGATGAGGTTATTACTTGCCCTTTCTGTCAGAATACCTTATTTTGTTCCATTAAAATGTAGTAATATTATTGTGTCTTCGGTTTTCAGTATGTTGTGTTCTTTACAGGATTATTCGACACAGACGGTGTCCGGGTGCCCGGTACAGAATGTGACTTCCAGTTCAGTCGATCCGGTAACCGGCCGACGCATGGACGGTTCTACAGCCCGAGGTATCCGTCCATCTACCCAAACAACGTGCGCTGTTCTTATTATTTTCACGCCAGGTAAGTTTTAAAAAGCTTTGCAGTCGCACATACGGCTTCTTGATAGGCTTAAACATAGATATAGACGACTCCTCTCAGTATATAGGATAGTCCTTTAGACTACTTGCATTTGTTTTATGGTATGCATACGTACTTACTGTTCTCCAAAACAATCTTGTCATGTATTTCTACCGCACCTTAAGAAAATTGTCTTTGTTTGTTCTAATTTATTACTCTTACAGTTTTACCTGAAGGATTAACAAAACCTATACAGTCGTAAAATAGAAAACACTGATACATAATGTAATCATAATTTGCACTTTATTTTCTCGTTTTGTTCATTGCGAGAATGTAAGCACTGATTGCCAGAAAGTTTCAAAAAGTTTAACACTCAGACAAAGGAACGACTAGTGGGGTTTTCTATTTACATCCAGGTCCTACAGGACACGTAGCTTGTGTCATTATAGTGGTCACGTAGTAGTACAAAGTGTAATCCTCTCTCTTGGTCTGTTTCTGCGTACGTGCACGGGCTACTAACTAATGATAGTTTACAGTTTCATCTTAATAGAGGACGACGATAGTGTTTTGTTATCAAATAAACCCAACTCCATAAGAACAAATTTGAAACGTTTAGTTTTACAATTTATTTCTGATAACGACTCTATTGTATTGAATTGCCTATCGTTAGCCAATAAGGATCATCTTCTTCCCAAAAAAAAATACGTTTCATCACAAGCTCCATATTTTTAGTTACTTTTTACTTAACCGAAAACTTTTTGCTTAGGAAGCTTATATATTGAACCAACATCATTTCTATAGGAGCGTCTTGTAGCATCAACATGGGTAAACCAAATCTTCGTCATACCACAGATAGTACCTTTTTTTTAACATCTTTACCGTTACTTAATACGTCAACAGTGGCGCTTTGCTTGATATTTGTATGAATAAAGCTGTTTGATAAACAATACATATGACTGTTATTAGTCGCGCATCGAACGCAAGGGGTGTATGAAATCTGTGGATTTATAAAAAAATCTGATTGATGATGTTTTAAAACGCGATCTTTATCTAATTATGTAGTCCACCGCTTTTGTATCTTTTGACGAACAGTCGTGCAATATTCTGGATAATCTAAATACTTACTTGCCACTGTGTGCAGGGCGCAGGTCGGAAGGTCAGGTGGAAAATTGAACTAGAGCCACTTAATTGCAACTGAAGATATGTCTGTCTTAATAAAAAAATAAAATGCAAACATTTTTATTTTCAGGCCAAAAGAACGTGTGAAAATCCTTTTCGAAGAAGTGTCTCTTCAAAAGGGGGATGTCAGGTGTGTGTATATCTATTAACTTAAGTTTATATTGAATGATAAATAATTTTGACTACATTGTGATCGTAACATAAAAAAAATGTACTTACTCAACACATAGATATACTATTTTTATATAAACTCCCAGTCTTCTATAATATAATTGAACAAACTTGCTTTGCAGGTTTAAAATAAACTAAAATTCGTCAGACAGTCAAATTTGGCTCATGTTGAATGTTGTTTTGTTTTTCATTACCAGCTTGTGAACGTGGATCCGCTCGCGTTTATGCTGGTTATCGCTATAAAAAGAAGCCGACGTTACTCGATAATGTAGCTTTCCATTGGTGAAAGGATTTTTAAAATCGTTTTTTTTTTAAATAATGTAACTTGAACTGTCATTGTGTGCACTTTTGTACTGTCTTTACTCCAAATATATACCTACCTGGCCCTGCTTTAATTTATACTAAATTTCTAACGTTATAGCATAGATTTTTGGACAAAAATGTAGTTTTTTGCACTTCTTCTACAAATCAATTTTAAGTATTCAAAAAACGAAGGAAGCATTTTCCTCATCATCGACTATTTATATAATAGTAATTAGAAATAAGAAATATTTACTAGACGGTTTCGATGGTAATGTGCATAGCTGAATCCATTTAGATGGAAAAAAATAAACATATTTAATCCTTTGACTAAAGTTTATTTGATTACTTTAGATTAATAGAATTTTTTTTTATCAACGCGCTATAAAGTATATTTGAAATTCAATTAATGATAAGACCGTTCTTAAAATAATTTTATCTTTCACAAGAGATGCTTTGATCACAAAATTGGAGCGTACATAAAATACTGAGGCACCACAAAACAACCTTTAAAACACTCCGCAAAACGTAATATTTGATGTAAAATTCATTAATAAAAATAAAATTGCTCATAAAATTATTCCATAAAGGCAGCGTCAATATCCGAAGACTGTAATAAAACTACTGAAGTATGCTATAATCAAATCTTTCATCGAAAATATTGAATATGATGACGGTAGTGCAACGTACAAGTTAGTGCCACTATGTGACTTAACGTTTGTGAGATTTAAGATGTAAGTGGCTTCTTAATGTTTTAAGATTATTTTATAAATAATAGAAAAAAAGTTTAACATGATTCCTTTTCCACACAAGTTATCTTATACCATAAAATATGAATGTTTTTGGTAAGAAGAATACAATAATAAACGCAGAGTAAATTAAGAGGTATTGTAACTTATGAATACATTATCGCGATTTCGTTCCTGTTACCTGTTCCTGACCACAAATCACTGGAATTTCGTTTTGTTGTGTCCTATTTTTAATGGCAAGAAAGCGTACATTACATGCAGTACATTACAATAAAATTAAAAACATTAAATAAAAAATACTACTGCTACTATACTATACTATACTATACTATACTATACTATACTATACTATACTATACTATACTATACTATACTATACTATACTATACTATACTATACTATACTATACTATACTATACTATACTATACTATACTATACTATACTATACTATAATATAATATATAAAAGTAAAAGTCAACTTCACTAGTAACATAAACCTTTACTACGAGCACTCGAAAACCTTAAAACTCATCCCTAGACCTTTATACTTCTCTGCCACAAAGATTACTTAATACTGGCTTCTTACAGTAATTGCTCAAGACCATTGTGGGAGGCTGGCATCTGCACTAGGGAACCCTGTCACACAGATTGCCAGGCCCCCCATAGTACAAAGTTTGTATTATGCTTATGTCTAGTTTATGAGAAAAAAAGACAAAAATATACATATATATTTTGGCAATTAAAAACATTTATAGTCATTAGTTTAGTTTTTATGAGTATGCGCGTTCGTGTGTGCGTGTGTGTGTGCGCGTATTCAAAATGTAAACCATGTTTTAATTACTACATTACACATGCATCACCTTTCACATAAACGTACCAGGTTATGTGGTGCAGATGATGTCTCAAGTAGATATTTTATCGAGGAAAAGTTAAATAAAGGGAATGTAGTAAATACATATGAATATGGAAGAGCGAGATCTTCTGACCCAAGTATATTTTAAGAGAAACCTTCCACATTTTTATCGTATAATTTGCCGCAGACGAGGTATTTTAACATTTTATTTTTGTTGGTGGGTGGAGACTGTGTCCTCTAAAAAAATATTGGCCTTATTTATGTGGAAGATTTATTATTGCGAAGAAATTTAAATATTTATATGTATCCGAATCCTTGAATTTGGATATTAGTGAGATCGAAAATTATTACATTAATATTACTTAGTTTTGCAACTAGATTTAATATTCTGAATTTAACAATGAATCGAATGAAACTGCAACTAAGACGAGAAACTTGTATACGCCCTAAAGGAAAGACTAATGATAAACATCTTCCTTCCTTTAATAAGGAATGGTAGCTATCCTTTGAATGGTAGCTTCCTTTTATCTTTGATTCATTCATTCATTCACTATCACCTATTCCATTTTCTTGTAAAAGATTTTGTGCGATCGTACCAGAATGGAATATTTTTTATGAGGATATGGTTGAACATAATTACATGTTTTTATACAGTACCATTATTAGTGTGAATATTTATATATATATATACATAAACCTCTAGTCTAGCTTCCAAAAACCCAGGCAATCTTTGATACAAACTTATTAATCAAAATATTACCACTGAAGAATTTAAAGTTTAAAGTCTGTTTGTACATCATTCTTCTATACGTGTTATTTATTAATTAGTTATAATTTCACCCGATCATATATTATTATTTTAAGTAAATAAGATATATTTACTAACTTAATAACAAATAAATATATATTACCCATTAAGGGTACACATACATTATTTACTTAAAATAATGCACATGAATTTCGCATGTATTACACAGCAGTGTTGCCCATCTCAGGTATACGTGGTACGCCCACTCGTAGGCAGCGTAACCCGTGCACATTAAAAGCGAAATTGCTCAACTAATCCATTTACATAGGGGATGTAAACGAATTTAGTACAACTAGGTAAAGCCCTGTCGGTTTACAAGGTCTCGCAATTTTATATACAAATTAGGTGTGTATACCTAATTCTCTTTTCTGTTTATTTAGTGATTGAAATTCCACATTAAGTTGACACTAAACCAATACGAATTATGATATATAGTACTCGTGTAAAAGATACAGTTTTATAAAAAGTTGAAGTCAACCTCAATCAATCAAAAATTTTAGAGCCGGTACAGATAAGGAGCCGAAAAATTGTTGCATTGGTTTGTTTTTTTTTTTAAATATATGGAAAATGCTTTTCTTCAAATTTTTCATAATGTTGAAGCACATAACAAGTATTTCAAGATCAATTTCCAATGATTTTATTTTTGTATGCAGACATTTTTAGAAAACCTGAATCATCAAACACTTGTCAGTCTATTTTTCGAAGCCTTATGATGAAAATGACAAATCATATTTGACATATTCAATTTTTTACTTGCAGAATAAGATTCATATATTTAAAATCATAATATTTTCAAAAGTTGTAAGCGCTTTATGTTGTTTATATGGTTTAATATACAACCCAAAAATTATTTTTGTCGTACAAATATATCGTGCAAAGAAACAGTAATCATCTTTCTTTAAAAGCCTTACTAAAGTTTTATTTTAATCGACTACCATCGCAGAAATGTGGACAAAGTACATTGTTATTATTTACTTGTGAATTAACTACTGGTATGAATTAATGTACTTTGTAGTAAATCGTATCCAGTCGGAAGTTTAATAAATATCCAATTATGTCGCTGTTTCCAGTACTGTTTATATTGCATTAACATAACGACGTAGGTACTTCCATACCTAAAGCGTTCGACAGCATCGCAAAACTGCTAATTTATTTTGCATCATTAATCTTTATGGAATCACATTTTAAACTGGATGAAATGGTAGTATATTGAATCAATTTTAACTAAAGTACCTCTTTAAAATTATTTTAAGAGTTCATAGAGAGTTTATATCAATCAAGAAATGTTGTTTTATAAATTTATATCTTTTTGAATATCGGCGTCATTAATAAGGTTATTGATAATTAAATTATAATGTACTGGCAAACTAAAAACAATAACTGTCTATAAAAAAAATCAAATCCGTGACTACCTTTTCAAACAGAGTTACCAGTTCAAACACTAGTCAATAACGCATACGTTTGGGATATGCTCATTTTATAAACATTATTGTAAGCATTTGCCAAATTACATGCTAGGAAAGTAGTCTGTCTGAAGAGATTTACCTTCAGAGAGACTTTCCATGCAGGTATCTGTGACCTTTGCTCAAAATTGCTGAATTATCAAAGCGCCAATTTTGTGTTAGGTATATAAATGATATTTGTTCTTTTTATGCAGATAACCTTTTAAATCTATAAGAAAATGAGATGTAGCAGGAAGTTATCAAAGTAGGTGGCTTTTTGTTGGTGACAAGTTAGGCGAGAATATAACCCTTCAATTAAATTTCAATTACAATTGAATTGAAGAGTAATATACTAATAGAATGATGATAGAGAGAGAATGATAGAGAAAATTAATTGACATATGCAATAATAAAGGAAGGGAGCATTCCTCCTGTAAAAATATTGCCTATGTCGTGTCTATTCATGTCTAAAGGACTTGGCAGTGTTTAAAGTCCGGTGTATTTATAAGTGCTCTGATTTTCTCGCCACCTAATTACATAAAAATAACTGCCTACCTTTTCGTGTGTGTGTAATTAATTAGTGTGAAAATTATTTGGCTGACAAGTAATAAGTTTCTGAAACATACACATACATACAGAACAAGTAATTCCTTTCTTTTTTATACATTTGTATGGGTTTATATTTAAATTGTATTATTATATATTAATAATTTATATATATATATATATATATATATATCACCCATTTACAAATTTATATAAGTTAAAGACGACAATTTACTCTAACGAACAGCCCATAAAACGTACGAAGGTATGGTACTAATGTATGTCAAGAGCAGAAGTGAGCCTATTTCAAAGGTTTACGGTATAATCTCACCGCAGAAATATTTATGAGGTCAAATTATTCAGAAAGAAGATATGGAAAATTGAATCAATACGGTTTTTCATGACTATGGGTGAAAAACGAAATTGATAAGTGGTCACTTTTCTGTCTATCCTAAAATTTTAAATGTTGGTTCAGTTTCATCGAACATGATTTATTTAAAAAAAAAAGTAAGCTCTGCGTCTATGATTACCTCCAAATAAGAGAACTCCTTATCTATGGACAGTACAGAGTCAAAACTTTATATATTAGTTGTATTATGGGTCTATTTTAAAATTCACTCGTTGCTTTTCAATTATTTTTTTAATTTTTGAATATGTATCTAAATATATATTTATATATCTGGAAACCAAAAGAAAGAACTAAGAAGAAGAAAGAAGAAAGAAAGAACCAAACAAAGAAACTTGTATGTACGGTTAGGGAACAAATATTTTGTGAGTGCAGTACGAATATATCGTATCTTCCTTAAAATATTATTGATTCTATACGTTCCCATTTTATTTTTCAATATAGTAATATTTGAAATATAATTATCTACTAATGACATGACAGGGCTTAAAATGAATTGAAATCGAGTATTAAAATTTGTAATCCAATTCACTACTACTAAATGTTGTGTTAATTATATTGTTATGAGGAATAACAAGCCACAATTGCCACATATTAGTCACACACTGCAGTCCCATAAACTATTTGAGGTCACAATAACACTTTTATACTATTTTCACTAATAATATAAAATGTATCTTATAATTTTGTGAACTGCTAACCGAACAATTATCGATTTGGATATTGTACTTAATTAATTCATGATAGTTAAAACACGATGGTCCCCTCATCTGCGTTCCAAATAGGTTAATAGGACTAATTATTTACCTAATAATTTACATATCCGTTATGCAGTCTCGTTTACACGGACCTCTTCTTCTAATCTACTACTACTGGTCTACTTAATCTACTAATCTACTTCCAGACGCTTCTTACCCACTGGAGAGAAGAGATAGACATAATTATTTCAATAATTAATATTTGAGGTACTCATTGGAAGTTTCCATTCCACAATCATAGTTATAGATAGATAGAGTTATAGATCCTAGAAATGTATTATCGTGAACCCTGTCACTACACTATGTAATTAGGAGAGAGATAGATAAAGCTTTATGTTTAAATAATCAGATCCCATTATCTGATTTTATTGAGATTAACAAAATATTTTACTGTTACAAACGTTACACTGTTACAAACATCTGATGAGATATCGATAGAAGTAAAATAATTATAATTGGTGATCCTCATACCTCGTGTGAGTAATTGCATCAAAAAAATGTTTCTTAAAAGAATAACGAAAATAATCAAAGAATGCGCGATGACAGACAGGCAGCTAAAGATCAATTTCAAATCATCAACCGTCATCATCAGCCTTTACTAGTCCACTGCTGGACATAGGCCTCTTCTTAGAAAGGAGGTTTTGGACTACTATACCACGCTGGTTTGTGTCAAGTTCTCCTTCTTTTTGCAGCCCTTTTATTCTGCGTATTTTGCTTCCTTAGTCGGCTCTTACGACACCTACGTGATGATGAGGGTGGTGACACTTCGTATTCTTAATCCGTCGCCACACCGACGATTCGTCATCACAATGTCAAATATAAATTGTAAATTAATATTAATCAACAATCATCTTTCAAATTATTCCATCAAATATCTTGTCCCGAAACGTAAAACACTTTTCTATTAATTTAACTGAATATTGAATGTCTACATGTGTGTCAAAGGATTTTTTTAATCAATCCATATTTATGTTATAAATGTGAAAGTAAGTAAGTTTATTTGTTTGTTTGTTACACTTTCACGCCTATAGAACTAAACCGATTTTTAACTTTTCTTCCACCAATGGAAAGCTACATTTTCAGCGAGCAACAAAAGACAGTACGTTATATGTTGGTAAAAATTATATGAAAACAAAATGCTACAAAGCTCTCGTCTTCAAGCTCATCTGTATTGGTATAGAAAGTATACACAATGACAGTTCAAGTTACACTGGTCACAGAAATAAAGCCAAACTTTCAAATCTTAATTAATTATGGTAGAAACTCAACTCTGCCGGGTGATCTCTAGCATTAATAATGAGCTCATTACTGAAATGAAGTTAATTTTACCGAGTGAATATTGTTTAAAATATAAACATATTTTATTTTTTTATTATAAAGTAATTCGACTCTAAGATTAATTTTATCAAGGGGGTGTTTTGTTGTGTTCCAGCTGCTTGAGGCGGGCAGACATCATCAAAGTGTTCGACGGCCGAGATACTAATGCTCCCACCATATCTATGCTGTGCAATGAGCTATCAGGTATTGTGATAATTAAAGGTAAATTAAATTATTAATACTATGTAATAAGTAACCTTATTTACTTATAATGAAGGTGGAGAATATTTTTTAATATAGCGGGAATTTAAGGAGCTCACAAATGAGCATTAAACTTAACTCTCGAAGCAATTTTCCCCTCAGAGAAGTAACAGCAAATTTAATTGCAAGTACGCTTTGACATAGACATTAAATTCTAAGGATGCCTTTTGAAGTAAATTCAAAAAAGGGATGCTTAGAATTTCACTCTGCAACTTATTTCCATTCCTTCTTAGACAAAATATGCAATGACGAAATCGCTAAACACCCTCAAACACTAAAACTGCTGTTTTCAGTTTCATCGTTCATCTTTCATCTATGTAATAGAAAATGTTAAGTTGGTTTGTGTAACTTTAAAAACTCATAATGGTCTGCCCCGACTGAGCTCAAATTTTGACACTATCTACAACCCACTTCAAAAACGCTTTTTCTATATTTCTTGTGTTAGTTTTGTTCCTCATTTCTCATCAATGGAACCAAAATGTGCCACAGAGAAGCGTGGCAGGGTACAGTTAGTAAAAGATAAAATCGTAAAATCCAATTTGTTAAACATTTCAACACAGATTGGTAACGTCACATGCCATGTACACATCCAATATACCTTCGGGAATACACGTAGAGATAATTATTTTTAATTCAACTTCACGTCAATACCAAATATTGTGCCCAGTCACTCAAAATAAATAATTTGTGATTAGTCTTATCCTTTTGCTATATTGTTATTTCATTTGAACTACGATAACATTTATTAAAAAAATATACTTGTCCATGAATAAAACTTGTTGAAACAAACTTAAGTACCAACATAATCAAAAATTTTTCAAGGAGCTACTCTACCATTGTGATAAAAATAGAGTATATTTTTCCAGCTCTCTTTGTGCTATGCAAGCTCTACTTATTACGAAATCCTTTACATAACCACTGAAGTTGTTTGTTGATCTATCTCTCTCTTATTTATCTTGTTTTTGAAAACAACTTTGCCTCAGTGTTATAGTGCGGGGTTTCCAGTCAAGGTAAATTTACTTGCCCGATTTTCACATGAATTTTATGTAGATTAAGCAGCTTAGCACAATGCTTTCTCTATAGTAGTTGAAGTCGATGTCGTAGTCGAAGTCGACTCTGTATAAGAATTCAGGTAGAATAGACGATAGCTTGCTATCGTCTATTCTACCGACGTATATACAGAGTTGTTTTACATGATCCTAGCAGTTTTGGAGAGGTCATCATAATGTGGGAGGAACTGTAGTCTGTAGTGAAACTATTCAGTTATCCCTTTCCTCTAAATCTTCTCAGTCGAATGACTACCTGCCTCATTGAACAAGTTGTTAGACCACTTTAAGGAGAAACATATAATTTGTGAGGAGAAACATATAAACTCTAAATTTATGAGTCTTTATTTCATTTATTTTTTTAATTGATTGAAATCGTGTCTTTTGACTGTAGACTCTAGTCATAGATCAACACAATCTCTGTTTTGTGAAATATTTAGCAAAATAAATATATATATGTATCGAAAATCTAAAATATATATATGCCTGTGCCGATCTACAACCGCCCGTTTCCAAGCAGTTGAGTCCATAAAGTTGAGTATAAAAGATACAGTTTTTTAATATAGGTATTATTGTCATTGATCTGTTATATATTTTTAATATATATATTATAGTATATTTGTTATTCCGAAATACAGCGTGTTTTTTTTTTTTTTTTTTTTTTTTTTTTTTTTTTTTTTTTAAAGACAACTCCCGCACTAGGAATAAATCCTGTGTCGCGGGGGACTTTACAAACATACATGAAACGGACACAAAGCACACCCAGACTCAGAACAACAATTTGTACATCACACAAAGTGTTGGTCCATGTGGGGTTTGAACCCACAACACTCGGCGTAATAGAAAGCGTCGTGGCGACCGCTTTAACCACTACGCCATCCGTGCAGTCTTTTATAAAACAATTTTGCGTGATCCGTTTTTATTTCATTTAAATTTATATTGTGTAGAATATGAAACCACGACACAGTTAAATAAAATAGATGTATATAGAAATATTCAACTTGAGTAAAGGGTAATAAATTCCTATGTGTGTGTCCCAATTCTTCATCTTAATGACTTTGGCAGTGAACCAAACGGTTAAGGATGCTATAAATATGGGACATGGATCTCTAGCCCAGTCGTAGTCTTTCAACTACGATCAGAAACATATACTATATTCCTTACCGTGATTTTCTGGTATAGTATTTCACATGTTAGGCAGACAACAAAAAAATCATTTTTCTGTCTTTACTTTTCCATAACTAAAACAACTTATAAACATGTCATTACTGTACCAGAGCTTGTATAAGATTATTTTTTATGTTAGAAGGGGCATACAAACAAACGGGTCACCTGATGGTTAGTGACCACCGCCGCCTATGAACGTCTGTAACTCAGGAGTCACAAACGCGTTGCCGGCCTTTTAGGAAGGAGTACGCTCTATCGAAAAAAAAAGATATTACAAAAAAGCTGGAAATAAATAGCAACTTAAGCACTTAAGTTTCTTAATTTAGAATAATACCTGCTCAAAAGACTTTTCTGTATAAATATAGGGTATACAGAAGATTATTTTAAGCAGGAATTGTTCAACTGACTAAAAAGTTAACAATAATCTTCTGTAAGATTAGTTGGTTCTGTTGGGATTACAGTAAGTTTTCTTATTATAAATTGATTTGGAACCAGGTTCAACATCTTCTTGGGTCTCGTCCTTTACGTGACTAAGGGCGCAGTGGTTTAAGCGGCCACCTCACCGCTTCCTGCTGTGCTGATGTTGAGGGTTCGATCCCCCTATTAGACTACACTTTGTGTGAGCCACAAATTGTTGTTCTGAGTCTGGGTGTTCTTAGTGTTTCACGAATGTCTCTAAAGTACCCCGTGCTGTATCACGATGTGCTGTATGACGAATGTTTCTAATATACCCCGTGACACAGGATATATTACTAGTGCAAGGGGTTGTCTTTTTTTTTAAATTAAAACAGATATTCAACTTTATACTATTGCTCACAATCTAAGCTAATTCTGTGCAATTTTTTCAGTTCCAATCCATACGAGTGTATGCCTCTGTATTCCTCTTACAAACATATCAGTCCCGTCACTTCTGAATGACTACGACATCCAACCATTCCCTTTTTGAATGAATAATGCTACGTCAAAGAAACGTTAACTTTTGGGAGTAGGGTTGCTACAAAAATTTTACTTATAGAAAATATGTTCGAAGTAATCTGGATGAATAACTTTTCGTTAATTAATTAGGATGAAAAGTTAAGTTTCCGTTTTGGAATACTTGACAAAAAGGCGTTGTTTGTGAGCACTTGGTTGAAAACTTTATACAGTAAACCGTCCATTTTTTTAATTTCACAAGTCATAAATAGTTTGTTCCTTATAAAAAAAAATTGGTGAGCTGAGAGATCTTGGAAAATTGAGTTGCTGTAAGAATTACAGAGTACTTATAGACAGTAATTTTTAGCCGGGTTTTGAATTGCTAGAGCCCGTCATAATATTAGGAAAATATTGTGATTACCTATTTGAGTCGAATTGACTGCAGTACAATGTGCTCGAAATGCGCAAAGCATGCGCAAAGCGATAGAAATGTAAGGATATCGCAAGACGTACAGCAGCCCTGAAAGTATACAATCCTGCCCTTCTACAGCCACGACCACTCTGGCAAGAATGTCCGACTAAGAAAAATTTGAGTTAAAACAAAAAGAAAACCAGTGAAACCGAGTAGTAAAAAAGGATGTTAATGGCTTGTGATCAGCTAGACCCACTTAACTACATTTGTGAATGTTAGTATTATAATTATCTTTCGAAAAAAAAAACAATCTAACCTATTTTAGTTATCGTCCCTAAAAAAAATCTGCTAACTGATAACTGACATCCCTACGCGTAACGTACTCGCTCCAGTTGCGGAGTGCTGTGATTGCTAGCCCAACTCTGTATACCTAATTTTCAGGTTTTATATTATTCAGACAATGGTTGGTCTTTCTAGATACTACTTTCTGAAAATAAGATATTTCTTTCTTTTTAGTGCAGAACTGTCTAGAAAAACAATATAACTTAAACGTAACTTAAGTTTCCTGTGTTTTTGTTCGCTGGAGGTCGATAGGCTCAGGAAATAAAGTTTGGAACCAGTGACAAACACCTGGTATGGATATCGTATGATTCACATATTACCCATAAAGAAGTTCACAGTTGCCGATTGGGACTATATATATATTTCTATGGAAGCGAAATGTTGTCGCCTATGACGCACGCTGATACGCTGACCGACTGAAAATTCTTAAACTTTTTTATAACCTGTACTGCATATTTGCAAAATCTTCATTTATGAGTCACTCGCCAAGCACAAAAGCAATGATCACAAGCTTTCATATTACCGTGTTTCATCGGATCGTATCTCAATCGTATCGGTATCGTGTTTCAATGTTTACCATTCTTTGTCATAATTATTTCAAGAATTCTAATAGTTTTTTTATTTTGATATTAAGTCACAAACCTTTAAAATGTATTCATATATAATTAGGTAGGCTAAAGATCTCAGACTAAATTTAACTGTTCGTTTACTCAATCTCTTTGTCGGTTTTTTGACGACCTAGTAATTCCAGAAAGACAAAAACTTTATCTTTAATTTCAAACAATATACAAATATTTAGCTTAGCCTTGAAAATCACTTGGCTATCCAGTAAAATGACAAACTTATCGCATGTTAGTGATCCAATGGTATTATTACCCTTCATTAATCTTTTTCCTGTTCCAAATTTACTCACCCAAAAACTGTAACAATAGGATGGGGATCATTCAAGTAACTGCGTTCATCCTTTCAATAGGGACCTTCCTCAAAAACCTTTACTCACAATAGAATCGTCTGAAAGTTATTCAAAATATGTTACATACTCGTATATCTGTTTCCGTGTAACATAACAAACACGTGTACAAGCATTACTGATGTGTGCAGGAATTTTGTCTTACAAAATTTGATGTCGGAATATCCTTTGATGCCAAATCTGACGGCTTGTGACGTTTAAACGCTAGTCTTTTGTTAAGTTGAGCCTTTTACTGCCAAATGAGTTTTGGTTTTCAAAGACTCTTAAATAATTCTGTTAATGGTATTTAGAAGTGGTTTATCTGGAGTGTCTTTTATATATAGATTTACAAATTTCATATAATTCAAAACTGAAACGAAAAACGAAAAATTAAAAAAAAAAGGTTTGATAAAAACACTGATACCAACCTTCCTTGGAAATGTAATCGGTTTCAAACATTATAAAAGAAAAAGTCAAATTGGGGTAAAGACAACGGATAGGAGCTAGGGTAAGGAATACAGTAAGTCTTGGATGGGAAACGAGACTGAAACCGGTCCTGGCCAGGGTTCGTGTACCCATGTGCCGATCCTAGGACACGGATTTTAACAAAGTCCAAATATCTTTATTTCACAAAAAAAATATATTTGAAATCAACTTTTATGTGGACTCTAAAGTTATAAATCAACACACAAAATAGCAACAATTTTTTTGTCAAATATTTATCAAAATGAATTCAATTCATGTGCCGATCTACAACCGCTGGTTTACAAACCCTTTGAGAAGAAAGGGCAAACAAAATTTCGCCCACTCTTTCTTAATTTAATTCATAAAGAGACAAATTAGCATTTAAAAATATACGTAGTACAAGTTCAGACACACTAAGGTAAACAAAACTCAGTTGTGTAGTACGATACACCATTACTAGTATTGGTAAAAACGGAGCACAAGAAATTCAAAAGTTGGTCGTAAGAACTCGTCCTTTAAGTTCTAAGTATAGTTGGAAAAATAGATGTTTGTTGTATATAATACTTCTGGTACTATAATAGACATCATAAAGGATTATTCTAGGAAAAAACCTAAAAACTTAAAGAAACTTTCAGTAACGATGGTTCGATTACAAAAAATAGAGTTCACACTATAAGAAAACATAATGACTATCTTGCAACTCTGAAAAATTAGTCAGATTTTTCGGCTTTCAGCTATCGAACTATGTTGGTCTTTTTCAATATTGATCTAAGAAATCATAATTTTTACGGAGAGCAACTTCTTACCATTAACATAGTTGATGTAAAGTCAGTTAATAAATCAAAATGGTACGCGCGCATCATTTTTATGTATTTAAAAATTGTGAAATACACCAAACAGCAACCAAATATACAACAAACAGTTGATCAACTTTTTTCCAAGCATCAGTAATCGCTTGTTATCATTTTTTTATAGCATAGGGAGGCAAAAGAAAGGGGGGCAAAAGAGCGCACGGTTCACCTGATGGTGACGGGGACACCTGCAACTCAGCAGTCATAAATGAGACCGCTCGGAAAACGGACAAACTAGCAACAATTATACGAATGGTTAAAATGAAAGTTAAAATCTGTTCTGTTTATTATTCTAAGAGTTTTATTTGTTTCAGGTTATGAGGTACTGTCAACAGGACCGGCACTCCTAATTCAGTTCACAGCCAACTCAGCGACACCGGGTCAAGGGTTCTCAGCAGATTTCCTCTTTCAACCTCCCCCGGATTCTACAGCTGCTGGTTTGTATAAACTTAATAAATATCAGGTCTAGTAATATAAAGGTTACGGTATTGGTCTGGCAAAAGAGCGGAGGTCAAAACAAACCCCATTCTGTACTATCATGAACCTACTTCGTATCTTTACGTGAAATGGTTCACGGTCTTACCCCACCACTGTTTTCGATAATCGTTATGTCGATAAACGTTATGTAACTGACGATAAAAGACTTTCGTTAACTCAAATCTCACAGGTAACTAAGAGGGTGCTTTTTCGAACTCTTTTAAATTAAATTTTTTGGTGCTGTGATTTGATGATTTCACCTAAATTAGGTAAATGCCCGTTAAAATCGGAGAGAGTATGTACACAATACAGCAATTCGATGTAATAAACGTTGGAACCAGTTAAATGGAAATGGGTTCTAACATTAAAATAGGAATGCTGGCTAAAGGCCAGGTCACTTCAGGTGCTTGGCTTATCGTAGATGGAATGCGTAGGTGGATACCTGTGAAACAGGTGATTGTTAAAGCATAATTCGAATCCTTAATACCAATTCCCAAAATATACATCTCGCTAAAATGTAACAAACAGTTTCAAAACTACTTTCTCAAAATACGAAATAATAAGCAAACATTTCCAAATAATTAGGAACCGAGTGTTTTTGTAACATTGCCATCTTGCGGATTTTTCTTGAACTAAAACCTTCTTCAGTGCGTCAAACTAATTGGCAAGCAACTTTTCGTCAAACGGAATGTTAACCAATTTCCTAAAGGATTTTGTATCACGGTTGTAGATGGCGTTAACAACAGTTTTGTTAAACCAATCTTTTATTACAGATTCAGATCGGTTGCTTAAGCTGAGTTTTGGAAAAGCTTTCGAATCTCTCGGGCCTGAAGTAAGCGCTACAAGTAAGTAAAACTTTCTTTAGTATTAATAATTCAGCGATGTTCAATATTTGATAGGTAACTGCGTGCAAACAGCGTACCCTTCGTGGAAGAGAGGGCCACCTAATCTTGTACCATGCATAATTTATGTCTTTATTATTGTTTATTTACTTTTAAATACTTAAAATACATTTAAACCAAATAATAAAACTAAACGCTGCTCAATCTATTACTAAATAAACTGTCCTATGCTTGGATAAATATACCTATGTATGAGCCCAAGATTTGTAAAAAGTAATAGTAAGTAAAATAGATAGAGTATCTTGAAGCTCTTAAAAAAATGATGATATAAAGTTGACGGAGATAATAATCATATAATAACTGTATTCACCACGGAAGTTGCATTAAAAATGACGGGCATAAGGACGTAAACAGGTATAGAATCAGAATATGTGTAAAAGGATCACTCACGGAAAGAGTTTCTTCTTCTTTTATTCCCTCAATATGAAAGTATACCATTAATTAATAAGTTAAGATGGGTGTACATGTGATTATTTCCGCTGATTTGAATTCAATATATTACGAAAAGTTAAAAATACTATTTATGTCATTCGAAACTATATAAATCGATTTGAATTAATCGAAAAAATTTAGATTACGTTTCCATCGATGTAATTTAACTGAGTATCCGTGTGGTGATTGACCACCCCTATTCATCCTATGGGTGTGTCGAAGAGCCGACTAAGGTAAAATAAACTACGGAGGACAACGGCACTGCAAAGAGAAGTAAAACTTGACACAAACCCCATACCAACCCGTCTGCATTTCGTGTGTTATAGTAGGCCAAAACCTTCTTCCTAAGGAGAGGCCTGTGTCCAGCAGTGGTCTGTTAAAGGCTGATAAAGATGTGTGAATTTAAGAGAGAAAATTAACCTTTAATACAATTGTTCACATGTATATTTGAGTACTAACTTTATTAGAACTACGTAAGCACGCAAAGAACTCCATTACCTAAATGAATATTGCCAAATAATTTGATTGAAACTTTTTGGTAAATATCAAGACACGAACTTCTATCCTTTGCCATCTATTGATATATATCTACAGCTGTCTCGGTCCTAATGTATTACAAGAATAATTACGATACAGTAATGTGCAGTAAATTTAGTATAATTACAAATGGCATTCAGGATTCATAATTAATAAATCCCCGAATTGGCGTCGAGTCCTCTGTGTGAAAAATACCTATTTCTTAGCGTTCCATGTATTCACCGTGCGTCCATCGCATATAAGGGCAACACATGCTATGACAGCGCCTGGGAATCTCGACCTAGGGATAGGTTTAGGGAGTACTCCTTGTGACGCGTCAGCGCTCATCTCCACTGTCTGCTGTGTCCCTTCCACTTTACCACATTGGATACGAGCCTAGCCGCTGTGGATATTCGTTCAAGAAAAGAGCTAACTAAAGCTCTTGGTAATCCAAGGTCAAGAGAGATTTAGCTGGTATACCCCTGGCACCCATTTCCAAGAATAGAACGCAACTACATTACCATTTTTAGTTATTTCGTTGGTTAAGTCAAAGTACTTGTACGTGTTTCTTTTTAAAGCGTGGTCTTTAGGGATGTTGTTCCCCACTGCACCGTGAGTTCTACTAGTACTACACGCGTACTTGAAGATGCATAAAGAAATATATCTGCTCTAGACGCTGAAGCACAAATATCCTCCGGTATTCTGTAACGATTTTCATACGTGTCCACTGATAATGTCACTGGCTTTATTTATAATTGAGTACGGCTTTTGTGAAGTCTTTTTAAATATGATTATTGTGTTTGTAAATACACAGTCTCAGTTCTGTGGTTTATATTGTCGGTTTGGTTAAGCAATGTTGTCATTAATGGGTTCTACAATCGTGTCCTTCATATGTTTGATTACAGAAGGTAAAACAATAGCTACTAAAATAATAAAGTAACTATTTAAAACTTGGCTCAATGAAAAAATCTCTATCAATAGAAGTACCCACCACTCCTCTTTACTAAATAAACGCTTCAAATTCATACATAATACGGATTTAAGGTTGCTAAGATCGTCGGAGAACTTGACTTTGAAAATCTTGAAGCATTCCACAGCTTTTATGGACAAGTCATTTACTGTGCAAGCCATACGTTGTTGAATGCAATGCCACTGACCACCAAAAGAGCACAAACACTGTAGTGTATATATACATGTCTAGTAATATATGTATGTGTTTAATATGCTTATTTATACTGCAAATTGCAACTCGCCATCATGTCATCCCTAATTTTCTTCTCCATCCAACGGTTGCCTGGAAGAGATCGCAAATCGTGATAAAGCTGCCAATTGTACAACTTTTTTTAAATATAATTAGTTTTACTTTCTTTGTGTAACTGTCCCTAGATTTGTTTTGTTTTTCTTGTATAATAAAGAGTTATCTATCTATCTACAAGTGCCGGGGTCACTACAACGCGCGCTAAAGTACTTTGGTCTTCATGGCAAATATCATTATAAGAATAAGAAAAACCTTATTTGTCTTTTTACATCGAGTACTTAAAATTAATAACAATGCTTGAATAATAAATAATACTTGAAAGACAAAATGGTCTTGGACTCAGCGTGTGACAAAATGGTCTGCCTAAGCCAATCATGGTTAACAGCCTTAGAATAAGCACAACGACAACACCCTGATCAAGACCCGACCACGTTGGTGTACGTAAACATTATTACTTCACACTCCGATAACAATGCAATTGTTGCTATGGATTTTACATTAGTTTAGTAAAGTTAACGTAGCAATTAATTATGAGTATATGAATAGATGGATGTTATGAACACAGATCAATGTATTACATTATTGAGTAGCCGCCTCCGATTGCCTCACTAACAACCACCTGCTGCAAAGTAATTTAAATGCCCGTAACGGTAGAAATAACATGGGTGGGGATAGGACATTCCAACATTTACAAGCGGTCGGTTATTTTGAAGCAACCCGTGGTTTTATGTAATGAGTGCTTGGGTAGGATTAATCGATGGTTACGTGACCTTATTTCATACCCATGTATGTCCGACGACCATGTGAGTTTGTCATAAAGATAAATAGGACCTTTACTTTTAATTAAAGACCTGAAGAAACATGTAAGTTTTAATATACGCCGGCTAAGCATATTCAAAATTTCCATTTCATTCAAGTAGGGTGATATATGATGTATTTTTAGGATGTCGAAAGTGAAGCGCATACATGCATATAAGACATGAGGGTACTAAAAGTGTTGTATACGATTCACTGTTTAATAGTGTAATATTCCACTATTTAATAAACACATTAAACGAAGTGACATCGTTAAAGCACTCTCCTTAGTAAAGCTCTAACAAAATTTTCTCTATCATATAAAATTCAAAGAAACTTTTTCATGTTAAGTGAGTCTTCATAATTATAACAGCGATGCTGGAAGAGCGCAAGGAAGTTATAAATAAACTTGTAGGAAATAAGTTTAAATGGGATCAAGTTGAAACTAACAAGTATCTCTTTGAAGTTTCATTGCATTTCTTACATCTTGTTCTTGCTGCTCTAGCAGGAAAACACCATTTCTATTAACTAGAATTGTATATCGCTAATAAATCCTTTTGTTTTTAAACCCAGAGCAATCGCGGTGAATTTGCTGTCATTTTTTGAAGAGTTCTGTTGTCCGAAACTCATCATCAGATTAATTTGAAATTTAAATGGGACCACTTGGGAATAAAACCCTGTAGAACAAAAAAAGAAATTTGAAAATCCGTCTATATTTGACAAAGCATGGTTCTCTACTCCTTAAGTTTATATTAGTAAAGTTTGTAGTAGTCATCGTCGTTTCAGGTAAGGTATATTCCGTAAGTACTAAGTACATACCTATATACGTAATAAGTTTCACTCTAGGAATTCTAGCAAAGATATCGTTCCTAGAACTTCTGGAAGGAAATTTAAGACGGGACGACCTGCTAAAGTTTTGTGTTATTGTATTGATGAGAAGAATAATGTCCTTTACCAGAAGCCAAATGTTAATTTAAAAAAAATATTTTAGCATTCCAAACTTTCACAGCACTAGAAAAATGTTGACACTCTAGACAATTTAAGCTGCGAGGTTGAAGGAATTATTTAAAAGTCATCGCGCCACTAGCACAGGCTAAAGTGGTAAGCCTGTAGTGAATGTAAAAAATATTCATTTCAATGTGTATTTTTCATGCCTTTATTTGCGATGTGCTCTCTAATAAAGATTCTTTCAGAAGCTCTATTTTTTATGAGAAAGGCCTATTTAGAATTTACAAAAATATTTAGTATGTTTCTTGCATCTTTATATTTTCCTATTTCTTATATGTATTTAAATGTGTTTAGGTCTTCGTCTTAATTAATGGATTATTGTTGCACTAGTATGAAATATTATGTATATTCATCACATGCAATTAAAAAAGATACTTCTCACAAACAGGCATCTCTTTTAATAATAAATGAATTCTTATTGAAAACTAAAACGTAAAATAAAACCAAGTTCACAGATGGCTCCCTGGAGCAAATTTTTCATCCATCAACGGTCATCGCGTGTACTGAATTCTATTTGATTCCCTTTGAGGAAAACCTATGTGATTCACTAAAAAACTTTGCTGATCCGGTGGTTCTTTAACTCCGTCCGTTTATTCTACGTCATAGGTAACCTCATATCTAAACCATTTCATACATCCTAAATCATACAAAAATAAAACACATTCAACAAATAGGCTGCAGTCTACAAAAATGCTCTAAACAACTTGAATATATATGACATCACAGTTCTGGATGCAACTCCGAATGTCTCCGTGACAAGTACATAAGTGCATGAAGTATACATGGCTTAAATAAATAACGAAACATGCTGCAGTCGCCGACGTTCCTTACACTTTAAAAAGAGACCAAGGATTTTAGGCGGAACAAAATAGCAGAAAAAATCGTATAGGCCTTTGTTTTTATTTATATGTATGTTTTGAATTAGATTTCAAGAATAGTAGCTAGCAGTCTTCCTTAAACCCTAGAAGGGATGTTTTAATGTGACCTTATTAAATTATGCAACGAAGTAATCTCTATAAATGTGTAAAAATAAAATTTAATACTAGATTTGACACCATTGTCACAAGTCGCTTCGATCCTTGATAAAAATTTGTAAAGACTAATAAGAGCTTTATCAGCTCTAGTCATACAATACCATCAACAATACCAATTGTATTTTTGTAATATATTTTTTAACAATGATATTTTTCCATCGCTATAAAAGAACATTGCAGATACCAAAAAGTCTTTTAAAAGGATGTGGAATTTCATATGTATATTCCTCATATGTATATTCCGCAATGGTATAATTTATCTATAATATGTGTGTATTTAGAAATACACCACGCTGGCCAGACGAGTTAGAATAGAGTTTGTGTCAAGTTTTCCTTCTCTTTGCAGAGCTGTTGTCGTGCGTAGTTTGCTCCCTTAGTCAGCTCTTAGTCTATCTCCTAAGAATAACCCACAGTAACCATTTTCATCTTGTAAATATGACAAAAAAATAATGGGTTATTTACGAATCTATTTCAAACAGTACATTATTATTCCTTATCCATTTAAATACGTTAGATACGTTGTGCATTTAACGAGATTAAAATTGCTTCCATGAAAATTAATATTATAGAAAATATTAGAGGTTTACAATGCGGGGTCCTAACGACCGTCGGGCCGTACGGCCGTCCGTGGGGCAGCGGTTGGCAGGATCAGAGCGGGCCTATAAATATTGCATATAAAGATGTCCTGTAGTATATTCCTATCATAATAATAGTATAACTAATTTCGTCATACTGACACCACATTAGTAGTGTTAGTAGTGTCTACATCGCACTCGTGCGAAGCCGGGGCGGATCGCTTGTAGGTTATAATATAATTGACACTTCACCAAGTCTCCATCCGTCAATCGCAAAGAAAAATCGGCGTTAGCGATTAACTCTCAAAGCCTATTATTTCAAAATATTGGACGCTCCGATACCTATATACATAAATCAATATTAAATTCGTTACACATTCAAAATCACTTAACACTTTCACATTTACAGAGCACTTTAGCACTTAATATACATCAAACACGGGTATTTTTTAACATAATCTTGTTCTGGTGGATTAAGAATTAGAATGATTTATTCAAGCGGTCTAAAGTTTGTACTGTAACTGAAAAATCTGTGTTACGTCCTAAGATTTGTACGTACTAAAAAACCACCTGAGGTTTGAACTAATCCTAGAAATGTCTTTGTGTATTTTTTTATTATATGGTACTAGAGTGAAAAATTGCACTTATTATTGTCTAAAGAGGCGCTTAGGTCATCCAGTCAACCGCCCCTAAGGTGAGGCGTGCTCGACCCGCTTTAGGTAAATGTATTTCATTTAATTTTAGTACATAAATTGTAACCTCTACTATTTCTATCCATAATAATTTATGCATTTTTAAATAATATGTTCAAGTAAGTTGATAAATGTTAAAAATAAATAATATGTTGTTTAAATGATAGTATTTACGTAAAGCTTTGCTTTAAACAAATACTAGTAGCTTTAATATAGTTTTACTAAATTTTAAACTCGCGTTCTGTGATTTAAAATGATTAGTTGGTATTTTGTCTGTTTGTTTTCAATCTCCGAATCAGAATCACAAATTTCCGCAAGACTTTCACTGTTAGATGACTGATGTTATAAGGAGTAACTTAGACAATTTTTTTTTTTTTTGGGAAACGATTCAAAGAACATGCATAGGCAAGTGAAGCGGGGTGCACAGCTAATTTATAACTATACACACAGAGCGCCCTCATTGTTGTTATGTTTCTGAATAGAAGTGGTAGATAGAGTATAATATGATTTAGATATCCCAAGCGAACAAAGCTTATTATAAAGAATATATTATTATCATTTTATAAATGTAACAAATAAGAAAACGTAGAAGTAACTACTTTTTCATCTTCATTTGCGATCCAGCTCTTGATTAATATTTATCTCGTGATCTGTAATATTGAAGTTCTGAAATATATATTAATATACGTAAGGAATTGGAATTGTACACCTTTTTAATTTTACACTAATGAAGGGACGCGAAACTTGGAGAACTTTGAAAAAAATTACGAAGTTATACTAGATTCTAAAATAAACCAAAATCTTTAACTTTAAAAAGTATTACTAATTTCAATACTGTAATCTTAAACTGTTTTCTTAATTTTTCTTGATAAGTAAACTGTGGTATTACTGTATCATACTAACTACCTCCATAATACCAGAGAATTTTAAATAAAATAATTTTCTTTTTATTAAAGTTGTGTTACTGGAAGACTATGTTAATTAAAAAAATAAAAATATCAAAATCTGTAAAGACTAACAGTTTGATTACTGATTTTGTTATGGTCAGGAACGTTAAAGTAAATTAGATGCCGCACTATGCTAACACCCAGTAAAGCGATACAACTTTGTACTAAGTTAATAGTATTTAAGTTTTGTGACTTATATTACAATGTTATTAATTATTCATACAAAGTATTTGTTACGTTATTACCAGACACCCAACTTCTATTCCATACGTACTGAGTTGTGGGAAATTACATACGCTTGGAAGAATAATAGCTTATAATAGTTTAGTACTAGTGTTAGTATAGTATAGTAGGTCAAAACCTCCTTTCTAAGGAGAGGCCCATGTTCAGCAGTGGACTATTACAGGCTGTTGATGTGTGATGTGATGATGTACTAGTGTTAGCTTATATTACCTAATAGCAGTAGTAAGTATATACTTATACACAAAATATAATAACAAAGGTATTAAATGAAACTATATGCGTATTATAAAGACTGAAGAAGATTTAAGGAGGGCCATTCAACCTCAACCAAAGTTACGATTATTACCGGTCAGGTTCTAATCGGCTTTACCTCGTTAAGATCTTTAGTGACCCGGAAATTGAATATTGTTCTTTGGAGACCTTTGTGTTTGAAATAAAAAATATTGTTATTCCATTTATTTTAGTCTGATACATATGAAGAAATTGTTTTTAATGTTTTGACATACGTTGAATAAAATAGCCTTGTGTAATGTTACATTTATCTCTATTCTATTTTTATATCTATATATCTTCACAACTGGTTTCGACAGCTCATAGCGGCCATGTTTGATGATGGATCTTTGACGTCTCTTGACATTTGTGTTCAGTAAGGTTTGCCATTTTATCATGTCACGTTTCACTTTAAACCAACGCTTGGAAATTGTCCTAAATTATTATGCAAATTCGCGTTCTCCTACCGCTACAGTAAGAGCGCTTCGCGCAAAAAACGGTCGTCATAGTGCTCCTTCTGTGCGCGCTATAAATCGCATAATAACAAAATTTGAACGTGAATTCACTCTCTACGATACTGCTGTGCCTGTGAGACAAAGAAATGCTCGTAGTGAAGAAAATATCGCAGCCGTTCAGGCCAGTGTTGATGCGAATTCAAATCGATCAGTTCAACGCCGTTCACAAGAGTTGAGGCTCTCTCCAATGACCACCTGGCGTATTTTGCGGTTAAATTTGGGCCTATACAAAATTGTTTCAGCA